ATCTAGGGCACAGTGTACTAACAGTTGTAAAGGTATGGGGACTTCTAGTTGCTAGAACCACAACCTACTGTTTCTTAAAATTCTTATCCCTTTGATTAATCTTCATTGAGAGCCCACAATCTAGGGCACAGTGTACTAACAGTTGTAAAGGTATGGGGGGGGGACACATATTTTAAAAATTTATCATCAAGGCATTTAACATCAAGACAAAGGATCTGGTTGGTATAAGAGCATTTTCTAAAGGTAACAGGGAACAACATTTTAAGTAGGAAATATGTCAGAAACATCACTGTGTGGTTGTTCTATCCAATATTTTCTGGATATTGAGCAACTGTAGGTGAAAGGGATGTCAGGGCTTTACTGGGAAAGGGGTTAGCTGGGTACTTGAGAACAAAATATATGCATCGGCAGGGTGGGTCCAGGTTTTGTGGAGCCCAAAGCTTATTCAATTTCAGGGACCCTCCTGAAGAAAAGAATATTCAAAGTAACTTTTGTGCGGGATGTTGGAAGGAGACTGTGAAACTGATGGTCCCTAAACCTGAAGTTTCATTGGCTTTTTACTTTTGTGTATAGGCCTAACTGTGAGTGCCTCTTTATGTTGAAGATACTCCATGTGCGGGGCAAAGGGGAGATGCAGGTGGAAGCCAGTCATAGAAGGATTCTGGATATGTGAGGTTATTGCATCAGGCACCTTTTATTAACCAATCTTGTATAGAAAAAAAAAAAAAAAAAGGTTAAATTGGGCCCCATAGGAAATAGAGTCTGCAATTGGGAAGCATAAGAGGACAAGAACTTCTTTCAATATGGGGAAGGGGTTCCACTCCAATACTGATACCATCTGTTTACAATTATTTTAGTTAATGAAGAGATATAGTCTTTTTTTTCCCCTGTCTTATTTTCTAAAAAATGCAACACCTTCCCAACCCTCCCTCTTCTGACATACACACACACACAACTCCAAGAATTGAATTTTACAAACCCGTTGGCTTTGGTAATGAGCTCTTGTAAGTATAAATTCACAAACTATAAAGAATGGAGGAAATCAAGTGAAGTTTTTCAGAAGAGAGTTTTTGTGTTTTTTGAATCTCCTTAATGGTGATTATTGTTGCTCCTGCAATCGTAATATCATTAGCACGATTAGGAAGAGAATTCTACTCTGGACTGCTTTTCACAATCATAGATAACTTATTTCCAAAATATTCTATTTGAGGTGACATTTCACACATGGTTGGTATATGCCTAAGACAAATTTACAGGGGAAAAGACAAAATGGAACCCATTCATTTATTGTTGAGTCAAGTGAAAGCAAGGAGAAAATATTTTGCTTATAATAAAGATATGCTCAACAATTAATGGTATAAAAATCTAAATTTTTAAAGCATCAGCTTTGGCACTGACCCTCAAAGGGAATAATGCATAACTCTGTTGAAGGAAAATACGTGGGGAAATAACGAGACCATGAGAAGTGAAAGCAAGTAGTGTTCCTGCACAATGAAGCCTAAATCCCTTCTTGTCCTGGGACTCTCCCCCTCCCCCCCCAATCTCAGGAACCAATCTCTCCCTCCTCCTAATGCAAGATCCCCTTATCTACTTCGAGGGTGGCATTGCTAGTGACCCAGCAGGTCTGACTGCCTTTCTGCTCAACTTCCGGCTATCTATTTCAAATTTTATGTTCCATTGCAGCTCTAACAGTCACACTTTCACATTGCATGCCATACTGCTGTGCAACTCACATTCACACACAAACTTTAGCAAACCCTATACGACTGCACTCTCTCTATGACAAAGCATGCTGTCTCCTTTCTTTTGGAAGCCCTCATTATCAAGCTTTTTAGTTATGCCAGTGATCCCACCTACCTCTTTAATCAATGCCTTATATTTTTAGAAATATCCAAGCTATCCTCTTATCCTCAAGAAAGTCCTAGTGTTATTACTTCTTTCAACAGGGCTCTGTCATAGGATTGAAACACTGTACAGCAAAACACTGTGGTCAAATCATCTCTGAAGAGATGTAGTTCCACAGCCTTGAGAAGTTTTAAATCCTAACAGCAAATTCTTCCTAACAAATGCCCTGTTGACTAATATAACCTAGAATGATGCACTTCACGGAATCACAAGTTCCCAAGTTAGAAGGAATCAAAATGTACCATTTGGTCCAACTTCTAATTGAATGTTTAAATTCCTTCTATCATTTAAACATTACACCTGAGCAATGTTGAGCCAGAAAGGTTGCTGGAAGAAAAAGCAAGAACATACCAGTTTCTTAGTCATTTTGCTTGGATACAAACAGCACAAGAATTAGTAGTTTGCAATTTCTGTACATCTACCTGAGAGGGAATCTTTCACTCTTTTTCAAATATAGAAATGAATTAGATGAAATAGGAGGGCTGATTCCTGAGCACTATTAGCAATCTCCTTCTCTTACTCCCTCCATCTCCACAGATCTTCCTAAATGGCAGAATAAGCTAAATAATAAAACCTGAGGACACCTTTGAAGAAAGGCCAGCTTCTTTCTGGCCCAGAGCATTGGGCATTCCAAGAGAAGATGCATTTTTTTAAGTGCATCATTGTATACATTCTTACATTTTTCCCATGACTTTTTAATGTCTGTCCTGTTTCTCCTGTCATTCTCATTTATTTATTCATTCATTCAGTTAGTCACTTATTCCCTGAGTACCTGCCACTGTGCCAAGTGCTGGAGATCTCTAGAAATCATAAGATAAATTTCTTCCCTTCAGGGTGCATACTCTACGAGGGTACTAGAAAAAGTTCGTGGAAAAATAGAATTAAGAGATAATACGAATCCTTCCATGATCTTTTTGAAATACGCTTGTATAGTATGGTGATGAATAAACAGTCCAATATAAAGTGACAAAAATTATTAATAGAAACCTAGAGTAAGGGGCCGGCCCGGTGGCGCTCCTGCCGAGGGTTCGGATCCCACATACAGACCGGTTCCCGCTCACTGGCTGAGCGAGGTGTGGGAGCAACACCGAGGGTTGTGATCCTGTTGCCGGTCCCGGTCCGGTACGGGCGCGACACTGAGGGTTGCGATCCGTTGCCGGACACGAAAAAAGACAAAAAGGAGAAAAAAAAAAAGAAACCTAGAGTAGGGAAGGTCTAACCACCAGGTAGCTGGGGGAAGCACGAGAGGGAGAAAACTCTTATACTGAGCTTCAGGTCTAGAAGAATCTTCTGGGGGAACAAAACGAGAGTTTAAAAAATAGTCTCAGGCACAGGAGAAGATTAGTTTTGAGTTTTAAAACTCAGTTTCAGCAGACATTTATTGCTTACTTTTTCCATGTCAAGTATCGTGTTCAACAGGGTGTCTGGGCTAGAGATAGTGGCTTGAGAGCCATCTGTTTGTAAGCAACAGTTGAAACTATGGAAAATCACCTAGGAAGAGCATTTTGAATGAAAAGAGAAGTCTTGGGATGGAATCTGGGGATCCCTGATATTTCATGAAATGGTAGAAGAAACAGCTGAGAAAAAGTGAGAAGTGAGAGAAGTGGAAAGACTGTCACAGAAGCCAGATCAGGGAGAAAACAAGGCATTGAGGGGTCAATAGTACGAATCCTGTGAAGAGGTCAGGCAAGATGTAGGCTAGAAAGTGCCTTCCGGATTTGACAATTTGAAGCCATTTGTGACCTTGGTGAAAGCAGTTTCTATGAAGTGGGGCAGGTGGAAGCTTTGCAATATCATTGCTTTGGAGCAGGAATCATGTTCTCAAATCCTTATATGGCTATACTCTACCTTTTGCACCTGTTCCTCATTTTTTCCCTTTGGCCCTCACTCCCATTCTACATAACACAAGATTATTGACTTTGAGATTATTGATTTTCTAATCAATGTTTCCTTTAGTAACACTTTTACTTGTTTCTTGAGTTCCAGACACATTTTCAATTACCCATGAATACCTCAACCTTGATCTTCCATGGGCATCTCGAGCAAAACAAAATGCATTAACTTTCATCCAAAAAGCTTGAATCTTCTCCTGTATTCCATTTCCTAGTTAAATAATACCTAACCTCTCATCCAGTCCCCTAAGGTAGAAACCTTGGACTTATCAAAATTTTTCTCTTTAATTTCTGTAGCTAAATAGTCATGAGGATCTATTGACTTTACTTTTAAAATGGCTCTAAATTCAGCATTTTCTTTCTCCATTTAGCACTGTGTGGGACTTATTTCATTTCATCATAATTTTGTGTATATGTATGCATGTCTCCTCCTCTAAATCCTGAGATCCTTGAGAATAAGGTCATTGTCTTATTTAATCTTATAACCTTGCCTCTAGTACAGTGCATAGCACCTGGCAGATGTTCAACACATTTGTTGAATGAATGAATGAGTGAACAAGACCTTTTCATATTTGACATTTGCTTTACCATCCACAAGCTTGTGGAACCATTTCTCTGCCTGTGGTTCTGTCATTTCTGCCTTCTGATCTGCCTGCCAATCTAGCTCCTTCATTTTAGCTCTAGATGGGTGACATGTGACCTTTGCCTGAAAATCAAATGCATTAAACCAACCGGTCATGACTTTTCCCCTTCAACAGAGGAAAACACTTAGCTAAGAAGAGTGATAGATAATCTGGTCTTCACGGGGTGGAGGTAGGGGTAATTACTGGAGAACAATTTCTCCTTCTTGCAGAGATACTTACTATCTTTCCAAGACCTACCCTAATGTAGCTCAGAATAGGAGCCCAGTAAGTGTCAATTGAACAAATGAGAAATGTGAATCAGATCCCTAAAGTCAAAGAAGAACCACTTTCATACCACTACAGAAGACTAGCTTTAGAGACTTTTCAGGAAGACCAATTTTAAAGTTTGGCCTTTGTGTGTGTGTGTGTGTGTGGGGGGGGTTCTTACTAGGGAGATTCCAGCCCTTCAACCCCTAAACTGTGTGGTCATATTTTTTAAAATAACAGTGGATGATATTTTCAAGGACAAGCATATTCTTTATTATTATTGCTGTTGTTGTTGTTGTTGTTGTTGTTATTATTATTATTTGGTGGCTGGCCAGTACAGGGAGCTGAATCCATCACCTTGGTATTATAAGGCTGCATTCTAACCGAGCTAGGCCAGCCCTCTAGGACAAACATATTCTTTAAAGGGGACTAAATGGACATATACAGTCCTGAAGAAATCAGCCCCATTTGGGGCTTGTCCCCACCACGTTGGGGAAATAGAATAGACAGGACATGGGCTCCCTAACATCTCTGCCTCAGGTGATCTCCAAGCACTTCTGCTATTTGTAGCTGTCAGTCTTCGATTGCTGAGTACCACATTCACTGGGCGATTTCTCTGACGCCTTTAAATGGAAGGCCTTGTTTTTCGGCAACTTCATTGACTTTCTTCCCCTAAAGCGACAAATATAAAACATTTTTTGTTTTTCTTTTGCCTCAGATGAGGAAAGCGGGTATGTTTTCTCAGGCAAATATCCCAACATCCTGTCTTCAGAGGGGCGTGGTTATGAGGACTCAGGCACATCACTTTCAGGGCCACAACTTTTTCATCCATCAAATGAAGGAGTTGGTTGACAACCAAATTCTGGGGGTTTTGGATATTTCCCTCACCACCCTAGCCACAGGGGCCCTCATTTGTCTGTCTGGCATGTCTTAGAAGCACAGGAAGCTGAGGATCTCAGCTGTATTATGAGAACAAAAATTATGCATTAAAACTCTGTATTTGCACAAAAGACAAAATGAAATTCAGGAGAATGGCATGATCATTCCCATTATAAAAGGTTTCATAATCTTGCCGAAGCATTTATTCATTCATTTTTCATCCTCTTAAATTAATCACCTATTATGTTTTAAAAGCCCGTTCAAGCATTTATTCATTCATTTTTCATCCTCTTAAATTAATCACCTATTATGTTTTAAAAGCCCATTCTAGGGGCCGGCCTGGTGGCGCACTGGATAGTGCGCTGCTTGGGAAGCGCGGCGGGGCTCCCGTCCGAGGGTTCGGATCCCACATACAGACCGGCTCCCGCTCACTGGCTGAGCGAGGCGCGGGAGCAACACCGAGGTTTGCAATCCCGTTGCCGGTCCCTGGTCCGGTACGGGGGCAACACTGAGGGTTGCGATCCGTTGCCGGACACGGAAAAAAAAAAAAAGCCCGTTCTAAGAGGCAGGTTCCTACCATCTTTCAAGATTCCTTAAAAGTGTGCTCTTTTAATATGAAAAAGTGGACTTCCTTGTGACCAAGGACCTGAGTCTCTCACTTGCCAGGGATGCCCATGCTCTTAGGATTGGTAAGGAACCAATCCTTGTGGCCAGTAGAAAATAAGAAAGGAATCCTTAACCCCCATTGGTCTTCATCCATAAAATCTATCCCCAGCAAAGTGAGGTATGGAGGCCAGGAAAACCATAAGTGTGTTATCCACTGATTAGGTCTGATGCTCTTGAGCTGTCCTGCTAGATGAGCAGCCAGAACCAATCTCTGGCAGAGACAGACACAGGTACCCTTGGCATCAGGGTACCTGTGTGCATCTCTCATCTCTTCCACCATGCTCCCACCAGGTGCTCCTGAGGACATAGTATGTCACAAACATTCATAGGCATGTCCCATCACAATTAGAGACAATTAGTGGGCAAGGGGTAATAACTCACTATGATAAGACATTTGCAATGTGCAATCGGTTGTGGCATTTGTTTTTACAACTCTGAGGCGGGTAGGATTGCTTTTATTATCCCCATTTACATAGAAAGAAAGTGAGGCTGCCTGGTCTGAGACCCGAGTCTTCTGATTTCAAATTCTTCCTTCCTTCTCCTTGAGCCTTCTGGTCAACAGTCACTGATGGTCCCACCCTGCAGGTAAGGGACCAATCTGACTCCACCCCTGGGCAGTGTATTTCAGACGGAGGCAAGAGCAGTTCAGTGTTTTTCAATGTCTGAAGAGTTAGGTGCAGAGACCCTCCTCTCCACCTAAGCAAAGCCCCTGGTTTTGGAGGAGCTCAGTGGTCTGGGCATTCGGGCAGAGTTTACCACCAGCCCCTCCCCAGGTTATGATGCAGTTCCTGAGTTCTTCCTCAACAGATAAAAAGCACCCTGTTCTCTGAACTCCACTCCCATTTTCTTCCACAGAGAGATACCATCGTGATGGAAATAAGAAACAGGGACTGGCTTCACCACAAGGTGTGGCTATAGGCAGGCCTCCAGACACAAGAATCAAAAAAAGCCCAAAGTGCTGAGGTTGCCTCCTGAGGAGGTAACCCAGGAAGCGAAGGGAAGATGCATCTTCCCAGACCTCCACATGTCTGAGGAGGTGTGTAAGCTTCCTTGGTTTTGCCCAAACTCCTGCACTGGAACCCAGTGCTCTATTCATTTTCTCTATTCATCTGTTCCACATACATTTATTGAGCCACATACGTTCTATATGCCAGGCCCTGTTCTGGGTACTGGAGATAAAACACCACACAAAACAATTCTGCCCTCCTGGAGTTTACATTCTAGTTGGGTATAGACTAGAGGCCAGGTTTACAGCAGGCATTCTCTGTGAAGGCCCCTAGGAGCCAGGTGACCAATGTGTTTCCATTCCAGCCTCTTCTGGCATTGATAGAAATCACTTCTGGGGATAGGCTGCAGCTAAAATGGCTGAGGAAACTCTTGAACTGAGCTGACCATAGGCGCCCAGCCAGTATGCTTTCTACCCATTAATACCTCTTTAGAAGGAAAGTTTCGCAGGTTGGAGGTTTCAATCCTCTGTAGTATTTAAGAACTGAAGCGGGTGCTTTGTTTATTAGTTTTTGTTTCCTCCTGATGGGACAATCCAGCAGAGGATATCTATGTGTGTCTGTGTGTGCACGCACGTGTGTGCATGTGTATGTGTGCATGTGTCTGTGTACCTATGTATTTGTGGAGTGTCTTATTAGACCTATTTGTCAGGGTGTTTGTGTGGGAGGGCATCTTGTTTTCCATAGAATGGAGTACATGTCAGACATGCAATGAAGACTTCATAATCGATGAGTATTGCTGACTAAGAATAAGGTCGAGAGGTTCACTTCATAGTACAGAACCAGATTCTCAGGGGCAGAAGGGACTCTGGATATGTTTTCTCCAGCTCCTTCAGTCACAAATGGGAGAGATAGGGGAATGAGACAATTCAGCATAACAGAGATGAGGAGGCTAGGCTCTGGAGTGAGACCTGGGTTCAGTTCTCCACCTTGTCATTTAATAGAGATGAGGGCTTTTTTGTTTTGTTTTTAAATTACTTATTTATGGGGCCGGCCTGGTGGCGCTCCCGCCGAGGGTTCGGATCCCACATACAGACCGGTTCCCACTTACTGGCGGAGCGAGGTGAGGGCGCAACACCGAGGGTTGCGATCCCGTTGCTGGTCCTGGTCCGGTACGGGTGCGACACTGAGGGTTACGATCTGTTGCCGGTCACGAAAAAAGACAAAAAGGAAATAAATAAATCCGTTGCCGGTCACGAAAAAAGACAAAAAGGAAAAAAATAAATAAATAAATAAATTACTTATTTATTTTGGTCTTAGTGTCCTTATCTCTAAAATGGGCAGTATTGCTGTAAAGGTTAAGGCAGAAAATTCATGTAAAACATTCAACACAGTGCCTGGCTCAATATATGCAGTGGATGTCATTATTTTCCAGGAAGAAGTGAGTTCCTCAAGTCACACAGCTAGTTAGAGATAAATCTGAAAACAACTAGGTTTCCTGACTCCCTGTCCTGTGCTTTTTCCCACAATCACTGCACAGAAAAGAGTAGATGTGGAACTTAGTTCAGAAGTGGGTATTATAGTGCCTTGAAGGAAAAAAAAAAATCCTATTACTTATTGAGGGCTGGTATGTGCCAAGTACTATTCTGCATTCCATAGTTGTTATCTCTTTGATCCTTACATAAACACTACATGGCCTGATTATTATCCCTACCCTAGAGATGGAAAACTGAGGCTTAGGTAGAAAAAATAATTTACACAAACCTAGGTCTGTCTGACAGACCCCCAAACCTGTTTACTCTGTGCTGTGATGATTGTGGTAAGAATTTTGGGGTATATTAAATGCAACTGCAAGACCAAAGGGACTCCAAACAAGGCTGTGGGTGGCTCATCTTTGGCACTGTCACTGCTCTCAGCAGCTGCCCCTTCATGAGACTGTGATTGTCATTTGTGGAAGAACAAAGTATGATTCGAGTGGACAGCATATTTATAGTATTTATTTCACTGTACAGGAGAATCTGTGTAGGCGAATGAAGACTCTAGGACCAGCGTTACAGAGGAATGAGCTATCTGTGCACCTTGATGTCAGGGGAAGGTGTTTTATTTCCAGTGTGAAATGCCAGAGAGTCCAGGAATGATAAAATCACCCTAGTTTTTCTTATGAACTCCTAGAAGTCATCTTTGTTGGTATAAATGAGATCATTTAGCCTAATTAGTTCCAAGCTTAATTAGCAGTAATTATCCCAACATGGGAGTAATATCCGAGCAGGAAGTGCCGAGTCCTCGATTAGATAGATCTCTAATTGGTGTTACAATATTGTAATTAAAGCGTGTTTGTACGCCTCTGCCACTGCACGCGATTTGTTTCATGTCTGATTAAACAGGGAGACCCAGCAGCCTTTGTGGGGGCCAGAATTTTAGATCTGACTCACATAACATGTTAATCCTGTGACAAAAAAGATTTGGGGACCTGCTGTGTGGTCAATGTAAGTTTACAGCCCTGAGCCAAAGGTATTTTTACTGACAATGTGTGCATTTGGTCTACTCATCTCTTCTACTCCTGTGTAGCATGTGCAGGAAAACATAAGTATTTGGTTGAACTGTCACTTTATAAGTTTTATGCTTTTGAGGGCTGGTTCATATAGAACCCAGAGAAGACTGTACAAAAAAAATCCCCCCACAAATAATAATAGTTATTGTTTATTGAGCATTTACTATGTGCTAGATGCTGTATCAAAACTAATTAAAGCCTCAGAGAAACACTCTGAGATAGCCATTATAATCCCCATTTTACAAATGAGGACCTAAAGGTGACGGAGTTGCTTTGCCAGGCTAATTCTGTGTTATCCTTCAGGTCTCACCTTGAACATCACCTCTAGGAGACCACCTCTGACCCCTAGACCAGATCAGCTCCCTCACATAGCTCCTTGTAATTTTCCCTCAAACACTTGATTATAATTTAATTGCTCTCCAAACCATAAGCTCATTAATACCTCATTCGTTGATCTATTCCCAGTGCCCAGCAGCAAGTGAGGTGCTGGCAGTGTAGCAGGTGAACGTGCAACAAGTAAAAGCCAAATGAATTGTCAGAAGTTACCCAGCTGATATGTTGGGTGATTCAAACTCAGCTCTGTGTGGTTCTGCAGTCTGTGTGTTTTCCATCACATCATACTTCCTTTTTTTTTTTTTTAATAAAGAAAAACAAAATTTATTGCTTACAGTTTCTGTGGCTGAGAAGTCCAAAGTCCATCTGGTGGTGGCCACAACAACCCTGGGGTCTCACTGCAGGATGGTGGAAGCAGAGAGAAAGAGAGAGTGACAGACTTTCCCCTTCTTTTAAAGCCCTCAGAACCACACCCCTGACCACCATTTTTAATCCATTCACTACTGCACGGTCCTACAATCCAATCACCTCTTCAAGGCTCCACCTTTCAATCACCATAATAGGATTTCCCACCTTCTTAACAGTCACAGTGGGGGCCAAGTTTCTAATACAAAAAACTTTGGGGGACACAATTCAAGCTTCAGGGAGTTTGGGGGGGAAAAATTCAATCCACTACATTCTATCCCTGGCCCCCCAAAACTCATGTCCTTTTCACATGCAAATACATTCGTTTCATCCCCAAAGTCTTAACTTATTTCAACGCAAGAGTCCATTAACTCAAGTTAAATGTCCCATCTGTGAAATCAATACAAGTTTTCTACTTCCAAGATACAATGGTGGGACAAACATGGGGTACAAATTCCCATTCCAAAAGGAGAAATAGGCCAAAAGAAAGGGGTAACCGGTCCCCAACAAGTCTGAAACCCAGCAGGACATGCACTGAATCTTAAAGCTGGTGAATCTTGTAACTTGACTCCATGTTCAACGTCCTCTGCACACTGGTGTGGGGGCTGGGTCCCCAAGTCGTCAGGCAGCTCTGCTCCTATGGCTTTCCTGCTCTTGGCTGATGCTTTGCTCTCGCAGGCTGGCACTGCACCCTGGTAACTCCACAGGTCTGGGGTCTCCATGGCAGTCCTGCTCTCACAGCTTCACTAGACATGGCACTGATGGGGTTTCTCTGCAACAACTCCAACCCCACATTTCCATTTGGCATTGCTCTAGTGAAGGCTGTCTGCGATGACTCTGCCTCTGTGACAGATCTCTTCTTGGGCCCCCAGATTTTTCCATACATCCTCTGAAATCAGGGTAGAGGCTCCCAAGTCTCCACAGCTCTGGCATTCTGCAAGCCTGCGAACCTAACACCACATGAATGCTGCTAAGGTTTCCATCTTGTATTTTTCAAAGCTGCAGGTCCAGCCACACCTGGGGTCAATTTAGCCACAGCTGGAGCAGCCAAAGCAGCTGGGGTGCAGGTACTGGAAACAGCTTCCTGAGGTGGTCAAGGGCAGGGAGCCCATGGAGGGCTCCTCAAGCCTTTTCCCAAGACCATTTTGTCTCCCTAGGTTTTGGGGCCTGAAATCGAAGGATTGGCCCCAGTGGCTTCTGCAATGCCTTCAGGGCCTTTTTCTCTTTCTCTTGATAATCCCTTTCCTTTGTACTAATCTCTTTAGCAGAACTGGATTTTTTTTTTTTTTTCTGAAAATGCTCTCTGCTTTTCTACCACATGGCCAGGCTTCAAATTTTCCAAGTCTTGATGCTCTGCTTCCCTTTTTAATTCTGGCTTCGTCATGCCTTTGCCACCATAACTCAGTGTAGGCTGTTACAAGTACCCATGCAGCTTCCTTAATGCTTTGCTGCTTAGAAATTTTTTTCCACCAAATACTCTGGTTCAGAACTCCTAAATTCCAACTTCCACAAAGTCCTAGGGCATGGACAGAATGCAGCCAAATTCTTTGCCAGTTCACAGCAAGGGTGGTCTGTGCCCCAGTTTCCGATAAATTCCTAATTTCTATCTGAGATCTCCTTAGAATGATCTTTACGGTCCATATTTCTATCAGCATTCTGCTCACCACCATTTAACCAGTCTCTAAAAAGTTTCAAATCTTCCCTGTTTTTTTTTGTCTTCTACACTTTTGCCAGCATCTAGGCTTTTTCTAGCCTGTTCCTCCAAATTCCTCCAGCCTCTCCTCAACACCCAGTTTCAAAGCTGCTTCCACATTTCCAAGTATCTGTTAATTTTTTTAACGTTAAAAAAATTCAAAGTTAAGTTTCTAGGTAGCACAAGTATAATAAATATGTATTTTGAAGAGGTATGAGGGAATAGAGATTTTCCTTCCTCTCATTTCAAAATGCTGCCTTACAATTTTGAAATAGATCCCTCAACCATTTACTATATTTATCTACTCAATACTTCAACCTTGTATTACAATTTAGAGATTATTGCCCATACTCAAATAATTGGTAATTGAATTTAATAAGCCCAAGAGAATTGGAGTAAACCAGATAGAATTTATGTGCATTTATACATCACTCACTGGATTCTGCAATTTTTTAAAAAATGTACCACTCTCAGAATCTGTATTTTAGTGACTCCCAGCTATGGCTTTGGCACACCTCAAGAAGGTCCAGTTATTTTGAACAGTGACACAAAATTCTCAGGAATTTTTTTTCAAATTAACTTTGCTGGATGTTTAAGAGAAAACATGGCATATGATACATTGTGAAGAAATAAGAGACAGACTAGATCAGAATGGACCCAATGCCTTTAAAACTTTAGAAATCACTGCTATTTAATCTTGGTCACTGCTGAAACATATTCAGGAATTAAGAAGCTCAATAAATATTTTTATTTATTCATTCAAAAATTTTTTAAACACGTTTTTAGATGAGTAGATGATACTTGCACAAAGTATAAAATTTACCAAAAGGTCTAAGTGGAAAGGCCCCCTTCCACCCAGCCGCTCCAGAGATAACCAGTTTTGCATATATCCTTCTGGAATATTTAGTGCATACACAAATATGTACATTTTAAATGGTATTATTTCTTGGTAAAACACTATAGTACACACTGAAACATAAAGATAAATTAGCTCACTTTTTAGTCTAGGCAAAGACAGGAAGTGAGAATGAGAAATTCACTACAAAGAAACTAAAAGCACAAAGCTCTGTAAGTCTATTTTCTTACAAGACTATTACTAAACATCGTGATGATATATTGAAATTTGAAATATGGTACTAGTGAATGAGAAATGCTGCTTGACTTACAACAATAATGGTATCATCAAGTGTGAGTCCTGAATCTTCCTGGGTTTTCTGTTCTGACAAACTCTTAGGATGATGTTTCTATATGGCTATTTATCTCAATACCAGCAATAATGAGGATGAGGTGAAAGGTTCCAGTCACTGTTAGCAACTTAACTTACTGCTGGTCTCTTGTCACTAGAAGAGCTAGGTGAGAAAGTGAAGATGAATTCATGCAAATCTATTACCATCAAAAGAGAAATGTCTATTTATATAAAAGGCATCATCGTTATGCTATTTTGTGTGGACAGGGTTTGATGAATCTCTTGGATGACTACTTTAGTGCAGGAAAATCCATAAAGCTTCCTGCAGTTATTACGCTAAAGTTTGAGATTGCTTTTGGCTTCTGAATAACTAGAAATGATCTAATCATGATATTAAAGTAATAGAATTTGCATTTGGACAAGTAACAGATAAACTGGGTTAAAATTGTTGCAGTATGAGTATCTTACAATACCCAAGGAGCACACTAACCAAGGTTATTATCAGCTTATTGTAGTTTATATTTAGAATTTATCGAGCCCTCTACCTGCTAGGCTCCGTAGAAAACTTGGTGGCCCGTGAACTGATAGTCTTAAGTTATTTATCATCTCATTTTTTTTATCAAAGACTTGTCTATGATCCCTGTGGCTTTTCTTTTCAGCAAGGGCTTGCCATGGATGGATATAGACTCTGATGCCTCTTTTATGGCTCTCACGACTGAGCAGAGTATGATTCTTTCCGGAATGTCTTTGGCAAACAAGAGGACTAGTGCAGAGGAATGTTCTGGAAGCATTACCTAGGACCACAGTAATCTTTTGTTTTTGTTTTAAATATTCTGTTCCACTGTGTCCGTAAGTGTGCTTGTGTTACATGTCCCAATTTTTGGCTTAGAATAAAGTGGCTCTAGTTTTGGGCCCAACCCTTTTTGCTTTCCTTACTAGAAAGGTAAGTTTTTGCTTTGTTTCTATGGACCTTGATTTTTCCATTTGTAGTGATATGTTGGACCAATTAATTTCTATGGTTCCCTTTTGTCTTTGGCATTCTCCAAGTCTCTCGTATGAGCTTTGGAACGGGGCTTCCAAAGTTTTTCTACCGATGCCTTTTTTATGTGTATGTGTTTTTTTAATGTCTTCTTGATGTCAAGTTCTGAATGAATGTGGCTATGATCAATATGACAAATCAAGACATTATGTCTGTAAGGACAAACTCCAAATATTCTTGAAATATAAGTTAATTATTTCCCCTCTTATCCAGCATTAAATTTAGAAAATCTTCCCCCTTGAGTTCTCCCTAGGTATATCCCCTCCTGGTTCCTGGCCAGCTTCTGTTTGCCATCACATTTCCAAGAGTCTATCTCCTCTCGCTGGCCAGTGACTGGCTATGTGACTTACTTCAGTTATTTCCCTTTCGCCCTTAATACATTTATTTAGTACTGCTGTCTTTTAGGGTAGGAACCACGTGATACTCATCTTATTGGGCTTCCTCCCTCTATCTCAAGTGCTCTGCATATATTAGGCATTCAGAAAATGATTGTTGAATTGAACTGAATTTCTGATGATTTCTATATATTGCATCCTTCAGAACTTCCTCCAAAGAAACCTTCCTGGACTAACTCAGTTCAGACTTGGTATTCCCTTAATTTGCATTCCATAATACCCCTGTGCACATGGTTTGTATCATGTTAACTTGTGTAGTTATTTGTTTTAGTTTTTTCTTTTGAAGTATAAGTGAGGTACTCAGACTTGGGAGTTCCATGTCTGCTAATTTACTAGTTGACTGGCCAGGGACAGTCCATTCAACCTCCCTATATTTAAGTTATTTGTTTTAGTTTTTTCTTTTGAAGTATAAGTGAGGTACTCAGACTTGGGAGTTCCATCTCTGCTAATTTACTAGTTGACTGGCCAGGGACAGTCCATTCAACCTCCCTATATTTAATTTTTTTTTTTAATCTATGAGATGGAAGGAGGGGTGAGGTTGAGATGGATCAAATGACTCCTAGGGGCCTTCCTAGCCTTAGAATTCTGAGTTTTGGTATATTGGTTCCCTAACAAAATTATAAACTTCTCAAAGGAAGAGTATTTCCTTTTTCTACTATAGGAAATAGACTCACTGTTTG